AGATAGATAAATAAATTGGATTTTAGAATTGCTTTGTGAATATAAGGTGCGGAGTACTTCAGTCGACCGTAACTAGAACCGATCCGCCTTCTATATGACCGTTTATAATCTACATCGAGTCTTATTGATGAGATGTTTCCGCTGGTTTGTGGTATTTTCATCAATTCGAATAGAAAGCGTTTGTGTTTCCATCAAGATTAATGTTACGCGTCTTCATTTTCGCGCTGATCTATTACTTAATTGAAGGACTAACTGCCGTCAGTAAAATTAAATGACGTGGTTATCAATCAGCAGAGGTCCTTAGCCATTGATACCCCCGAAAATCTCCACTGTTTACGTTACTGAATCAGCGTGACAACATTTACACGGTTGTTTTTCAATCATCACCTCTCTGTTATAAGTTAACGAGGCCTTTTATGGGACAAAAGACAAAAGACTTACCTTTAAACATGCATACAAACTGGAAATAAACTTAGCGAACCACGGTTAGGCGCAGTTCACCTCCTTAAATAGCTTTATCAGATTTTCAGCAGGATCAAATACATTTGATGTTCGGTTAACCTTTTTTTCCCCGGATGAGAGATTCTGGCAAGGAATGTTTTCAAGGAATTTGTTTCCTGGAGCAGAAGTTTCTTTCCCAAGAAAATTCCGGATGTCGATGACAATTTAAACATAAACGAGGCAAGGGTTTATACTGGCGTGCACGTCGGACGAAAAAAAAATTAAAAAGAAAAGGTGCTGTCGTCCTTGTGCTATCATATTACGTCTAAGTTTCAAATTGCATATCTTTCCCGTCCATGTCACAAGGAAGGCTTAGGAATAATAGACTATTATCACCGAGTCCCATCGATCGAGAGAGCTGAGACAGCGAAGGCCAATGAGAAAGGAATAGCTTGCTGTAGTCTGCAAGACTAAGATCTCTTCGTTGGTTGGCATCATGATTGGCCGTAGTCTGCTAGGTCTGTACAGCTTGCTGATCGCGTGGTCTTTGGAGTCTGAGGCACGTAAGTGGGTTTCGTCCGTAATATTATATAAAAGACTTCCCCGCTGTGTCTTTAATACTAGTATGGCATTTACCAACATTACCCTGATGTTATAGGGGAGCAACATGTGTTAAAGTGTTAACGCTTAAGTTCCTTTTCATTCGGAATAGCCCTAGGAAGCTTTTATGCTACTTCATAATCAACTGAGTCTACCATACAGATTCACGAATGCCTTCAACTTTGATGATGAGAAATTTACCTTCCAAGTTGATAATGCTATATATATTTTTAAAAATATATTTTCTACCAAACGACCTTCGCCTTCAACCTTTAAAATTCATAATTTCTCTACTCTTCGACTAATACTTTAAGAAAGACACTGTGATCAGGACAGAAGCGCTTTGTTTATACGCATTCTTGAAAGCGTTACCATTGCGCAGTCATTACGTTATTCCCATCTGTAAGTATCCTCCAACCTTCTTGTCTCGTGGCCGCATAGGTCTGAGTCTAAAATCCTCACTTCGTTTCTTTATAAAATCATACATAATGAATTGTTCAAGTCCAGTGACAATTTCAGGCTTTGAACTTCCGAAACAACTGTCTAGACCTTACAAATACGCTTAACAATTTCGGAAAAAAAAAATCCGCAGAGTTCGTAGTAAAGGACACAGGCAAGAAGAGATTAAAGCTTGAATCGAAGGAGCTCTTACAAGAGAGGATCCTCTCTTATTTGTTGTGAAAGAAATCAAGGATCATCAAAATCCAAAGCTTAAACGCGGTTGGTTGCACAACTAAACACTGCCATTTTTTCTCAAAGGTAAAACTGATTACGAGATGCTAGGGTTTCTCTGCAAAATCTTTCAAGAAAGCTTATATCGGGAAAGAAATGTGCCTTTTATCGTGCCAGTGATATGACACTCAAGTAAGCTGACCACAAACGCCCTTTTCGCATCAGATAATGATCTCAGTGTTTATTCGCGTCTGTTTATTGAGACAGTCAAGCATTGTCGTTATCTAACGTGACACTTACCTGCTCAATTTTAACG